TGTAGGTGGAAAGTAAGCCACAGCACGTTCATGTTGCACGTTTTTGGTTGCCCTCTGCCTCGGCCTCTGTCTTTGTCTCTGCCTCCCTCTCTTTCTCTCTCTCTCTCTCTCTCTCTTACTCTGCATATTTACATTATTTAAAAAGCATCTTCGTTTTCTACGCTTTTTTTGTTGGCGGTTTTTATTTTTGTCTTTATCTTCGCTCGGCTCGACTTGGCCTGGCCCATGACTCAAAGCCCACAGACACAGAAACATAAATCGAATGCATTGTTGTTGTCTGTTAGCTGTTAGCTGTTTGTTGTTGGCTGTTAGCTGTTTGTTGTTGGTTGTTGTTTGTTGTTGCTGCAGCATCTCTTAGCACATTTCCCCACTCGCTGCACAGCTGCAGCAGGCGGTGAGTCACAGTTTGGGCCACGACTTGATTGATTGACCAGAAATTGGACCAAAGACATCGACAGAGCAGCTGAAGCTCGATCAGCTCTTGGCTGAGAGCAAACAGGCCGGGGGTGGAGCACATTAGGCCGAAGAGCTGTAACTACTGCGACTAATGAGCAGCCAGAAATCAGCCATGTGATTGATGAGCTAGTTCGCATCAGGAGCGAACTGGCTCATACGAACTATGGATGGAGCAGATCGAAACGATTGCGTAACAATCGATTATGCTAATGATAATGATCAGAGTCATCATGATAATAATGATAATAAATGAATGACAACCACAATGCCAATGACAATCATTATGCTAATGAGCAATTGATGACAATGAACATTGGCTACTGAATGATGTAAAATAGATATGACAATGACAAAACCAATGATAATAATTGTGAATGAAACATGACCAATAACAAACTATGAACAATGCAAAGCGAGCAATGACAATGAAAGCGATTTCAATTTTGTCGTCATGCAGAAAGTTAAAGACTCTAAAAAGAGCAAAAGTTAGCAAATTTCCTTTGCTAATAGAGGATGATCATAATTTTAATGCTAATGATAATCACGATGACAATAAAAAAGGGAGACAATGACAATGCTAATTGGCTATCATCGCAATTTCGGGCAGCGAACTAAACAAAAGCAAAAAGAAACCCAAACACACAAAGCTCAAGTCAAGTTCAGGTTTCAGCGAACAGCGTGGGTGTATATAAATCATAAATACATATATACACATATATGTATATATGTATATGTATGTGCTTGTGCATGATCAATCGAAAGAAATGTTAAAAATTTCACGAACAGCGCGCGATAAGCCAAACTCTTAGCCAACTCTTTGTCAGCGAAAAAACCTTCGCTTAACACGTCGTAAAATTAATTCAGCCAAAAGCGAGCAATAAGTGATGTACTCTGAAGTAATTATATAAATTATGAATACACGTGGATAGCGATGATATATGGCCGATTGTGTGTCCGATAGGCAAGCACACGATTGCCCAAGACTTGGCCAGCCACATGAATCACGGGTCGAAAGCTGCTCCTGCAGTCAGCGAGTTTTATGATCCACGGTAATTAACACAATAATGAACACCATAATGATCATGCTGATCACAGTCGCCTGCCAGCCTAGCTGTCTGTGAATCACAGGATTCCAGCAGAATGATGATCATGTTGATCAAACATGATCATTGCCAAGCACTCGCAATGATCATTCGCGTGCCATGATCATAAAAGCGCCAGTTTCTCTGTGAATCATGCTTGGAATCCTGCTTTTTACAACGTTCATAATGTCTATGAATCAGAGGATGCCAAAGCCAGAGCTGAGCTCCCAGTTACTAAGCCGATGATCACAAGGATCGTTAGCATAGATTCATCAGCATAAATATGTCTGGCTGTCTGTCTTTCTGTTCATTGCATTGGTCTGGTCACGAATGCTGTGTGTCTAGGAGTCACAGAGTTGCTAAGGATCTGCCTAATGATCTTTGTGAAATCAATGATCATTAGGAAGATCATTCATCACTATGAAGATGTCTCTTCTGTCTGTCTGTCTGTCTGTCTCTCTGTCTCTCTGTCTCTTTGTATGTTTGTCTGTCTTGCAAAGCACGAGGCTGCTGCTTAACTAACTTTATGATCATGCTGATTACTTGATAATGATGTCTGTCTATCTGCCTCTCTTTCTCTCCCTCTCCCTCTACCTCTCTCCGTCTGCTGGTGTTGGCCGCCTCGTGAATTGTTCATGTTAATTTGGGTTTTATGATTCAGCCGAAGGCAAACGAAACGAATCGCAGAGACCCAAATCGCACTCGGAGTTGCTTGATGCGAGCGCTGTTTGCACTCGGATTTGATATGCAGTCGAGATTAGATGTTTAACAGGCAAACAGAGCAGCCTTATCAAATGGGCACAGCCGCAGCTAAAGAGTCATTGACTCCATTCTCTATGTCTCTCCCCTTCTCACTATCTATCTATCTGTCTCCCTCATTGTCTTCTCGATCATTTCATGTCGCGCCTTTGGAATGAGTTTGTCCTTCAAGGAGAAGGCGCGACTGTAGCTCGGATTTGTTGTGCGAATTGCGCATTGAAGCGTTGAAAATTTCACTTAAAGACTTGACAAGATCATTTCTCAGCTAGAGAGAGACAGAGAGTGGGAGAGGAAGAGAGAGGGAGAGTGTGGAGGAGGTTGAGTGACCAACTGGCCATGAAGTTCAAAAGGGCTCGAATAGCCGATGCCCTAGATGAAATGAAGACAGATGGGTTCCATGAGTTCTTCAAGTCTCTATTTTAATATTTTATATAAGTTTTCGCTAGGATATTCTCTAGGATCATTAAGTAAGCAATCGATTTGTAGTAAACGGCAAGAGTTCTTTTTAGTTCTATTTAGCCTTGGCAGTACTCGACCTCAACGAGAGCTAGATACATCGACTCATCTGCTGAAGCTGCCCTTTGGGTGTGGGTACAGCTGCGCCTGCTCCCTACTCTCAGCACTTCACACATGAGACAACAACCCATATACCTTTTTTGTATGCCCTCTTCAGTGGGCAGCAGGCACACATGCTATAAATAGAGCCACATATAAACGTCTATATACACATATATAGATCGAGATCTGCAAAGTGAATTGTTTTGGGGTTAGTCGTGGGAGTTTCCCACAGGGTTAACGTCTTCTAGACATTGTCTGAGTCAACTTGTTCATAATTAAAACTGGGAACTGGGAAACTCAGCGTCAAGAACTAGCAAATGGAAATGCAAATGGAAGTGGAGGTGGAAATTGAGAGGGAGAGGCAGAGGGAGAGGGAGATGGAGAGGTAGAGGGAGCGAACAGCGGGCACCGAGTGGGAGGGTAAATTAATTTAGCGGCGACAAGTGGAAAAGCCAGGAGAACACAACAGAAACAAAAAACATAATTAATGCAGAAGACAAAGAAGCAGAAGAAGAAGAAGAAGTCGCTGCGAAAGGGGGTTTGTCGTTTGAGAAGCGACGAGGCTCTATGACAACCGGCGAGCGGGGCTCAAAATGGCTTAAAGAGGCAGTCAAAACAAACAGCCAAACAAACAGTGTGCGAAGAGAGAGGGAGCGAGAGAGGGAGAGCGGGGCAACACTTTCCACTTCAGTCACAGCAAACACAGCGACGTCATCAGCCAAGGGACAGAGAGAGAGAGAGAGAGAGCGAGCGAGCGAGAACAGGAATTGTTGAACACGAAACACCCTGTGTGGGCACACACACACACAACTACAACGGCAGTCTAACAAGAGTGAGGTACAGTCGCGTCTTAACCAAAAGGCGCCGAGTTTTCCACAGCGCGCCGAGTCGAGGCGAGCGAGCGAGCGAGCTGCCTGTTGCCCGCGGGCCAAATACGAACAAGTTGAAGAAGAAGAAGCTGAAGCAGCAGCAGCAGCAGCAGCAGATGAGAAGAGCGCAAAGAAGAAGCTGCGACTGCTGGCCGAAACGAAGGCAGGCAGTCGGACATTCAGGCAGGCCGTCGAGCCGTCGGGCCGTCAGGCTGGGGCCATTGTTAGACGCTTTTCCAGACCTTTCTGAAAACCCTCTTTAAATGCTGCGAGTTCTGTTTCTGCTTCTGCTTGTTGTTGTTGTTGTTGTTGTAGGAGCTGGCGCAGGCGAAGGAGCGCACAGTTTATTGACTTCTGCGCTTTGCATGTCGTGCCGCAACGAAAGACTCAAGCAACGAACTCGCCGCGTGGGCGTCAGCATTTGCATAATTGAGTGGGAAACTGAGTAGAGAAAAAGTTTTGCTGCACGCAAGGATAACGTACGCCCACTCTGGCTGGCAGTGAGGCTATTCAAAGGGGCGTGGCAGGAGCAAGAGCTGTGCCAGCAGAGGGAGAGAGTGATGGAGGCAGCTGGCAGGTAGGCAGAGGGAAAGATCTATTATTTGGCCAGAGTTCAAAAGGTGGCAGATCTTTGATTTGTCACACAACAACGGGAAAACTCGAAAACTAACAAAAGAAATAGCAGCAACAGCAGCAGCAGTCGCAGCAGATGCAGCGGGATTCTCCAACAACTCGCTGGCAATAATGTTGTGGGAATTTGTGTGCAATGAAAATGGGAAATACGCACTTGAAAATATGCTGACAAAGGCTCGCAGTCTGTGTGAGAAAATGATTTGGCAACAGCCGAGCAATGAGCCATGTGCAGGAAAAACCAGCTGGTAGAAGCAGAAGACTGACCTGCCTGACCTGGCTGACCCCTGCTGCATAAATTGCTCTATTAACAGATTTAAAGCGACGCGCGAAAACGCAGGCAAAACGTTTTGCAGCAAAGGGAAATTCTGCCAGCAGCTAAAAGTAGGCAACACAAATTTAGCAACTCAAATTGAGAGTCGCTAACACGCTGTAAAGTATATTTTAAATAGAAAATATGAAGAAAATATACATAACAATAAAATTCACAATGATTAGCAGCTGAAAATTAAATGTTTATTTATAAATTTATGTAAAATAACAGAAAACCATTTGCAATGCCCGCGAAATAAATAAAAATCTAGTCTTGGCCGGTTCGTGTCCGGGCTAAATGTAATATCGAAAAATGCCTAGCCGTGACACTTACCTTTAGGGCGCAGAATATGCAATCTTGGCCGCCGCAAACGTGTTGATTGAGACTACGAAAGGAACGTCGAAAGGCATCCAAATGCCACAAGACCTGCAACAAGACAAAGCAAATAAAACATTCAGTTTAATAAAAAAAATATAAATAACAATATTAATAAAAATTCTATGTGTTAGGCCTTTTCGACCTATTCATGGTTGCGTGTCCACACTAAGCCCATGCTCGAAAAAATACTGAAACGGAGTTGAAGAGGGGCACGAGCAGCGAGCAGCAAACAGCGAACAGCGGGGAGTGCAGAGAGTGAAGCAAATCTCTACATGAAAAATCTTTGGAGTGTGTATAACAAGAAGCGAAGTCTTATAAACCGGTTACCCCGACGCCATCTTGCCAAAGATGCAAGTGTGCGTGCGTGTATGTCTCTGTGTGTGTTGGACTCAAGAGAAGCAAAGTAGCCAAGAGCCAAGAGTTTTGTGGCCAAAAGCGCGCAAAACCAGTTCTGTCGCCAGCCACAAAGCCACAAATTTAACGAATTTTGTTGCCGAGCTTTGCTTTGTCCCCAGACATTTCGCTGTAGCTCGCGTGCAGATCAAAAGCGAAGCAGTAAAACGTAAAGCAGCAAACTCGAATGGCGACTCTTGATCTTTTTCAGCTTCTTTCGCGTCTCGTTTCGTTTTGGTAGTTGCTGCTGCTGCTGCTGTTGCTGTTGCCGCCGTTGCTTTGGCTGGTTCAGAGTTCAAGCCGACTTCATGAGTCACGAGCGGCCAGCAGGAGATCTCCTGCTGCTGCTGCTGCTGCTGCTGCTGCTGCTGCCGTTGGCCCAGCTAATTGCAAGGCGCACAGCAGCAAAGCCGGAGCTCTGAGCTCCCCAATTGCAGTTGGAGTGAAAGCTGTCAGCGCTTCCCTTCACCAGCTACCGGGCAGCCCGCAATGCCACATGACACGCGCCTCTAACGCAGCCTCAGCTTACACCAAATTGGAGCAGTTGTTAGAGATAATCGCATAACCAGTTCAAAAACAAAAAAACATAAATAAGACCAAAGCCACAACAGCTACAAAATCTGTTTTGGGTGCCCAAAAAGTGCGGTTTAGCTGCAGCTGCAGCTGCTTTTTCGACTCCTTTGAGCTGAATCGAGACAGCGAACGGCGAATTGGCACGAGCCAGTTCTCGAGTTGGGCTAAAGGAAAGGACAGAAGGCAGAAGCGGGAGAGGCATTACAGGCAGCATAGAAAGAGGAACAAAATCAAAATTTGATAGAGAAGGGAGCAGAAATTGGAGTGGGAGAAAGAGGGAGAAAGATGGAGTATGACATATATATCATATCATGTATCATATAGACACTATTTTTCTCTCTCTCCTCTAAATGGATATACAAATTGCAATTAGAGAAATATCTAAAGGTAGTAGAAAGGCAAATAGTAGTAGAAACGAAGTTAGTAGCAGTAAGGAGAAACTAAAGGAGTACCAGCAGAATGAAAAGTCCGAGTCTTATATAGTACCAGATTAAGAGCTGTGTAAGTAGAAACGAAAATAGTAGTAGAAGGAAAAATAGTAACAGAAATAAAAATAGTAGCAGTATGAAAAATAAATGTACAAAGCTATAGAAAATAGAGTAGTACTCGTAAAATGAAAGTCCGAGTTTTATATAGTACTTTGCTTAAGAATTGTGGCAGTAGAAATGGAAATAGTAGTAGATGAAGATAAGATAAGAGTAGGAAAAGTCACACAAATAGTAGCAGCACAATGCAATAGACACTTGAGCAGCAGACAGATCAACTTGTATTACAAATTATATATATGATGGCTATAGCGGGAGTATTTGGATAGCCAGCCATGGGGAAAGAAGAGAGAAAAAAGAAGAGGAGTAGATGATTAAACTGACCCCACAGTCTCTGCTGCTGCTGCTCAGCTTTCGCTTGTACTTGAGTTACAATTGCCTAATGCGAATTTAGTTACGCACTCACAGTCTCTGTCTCTCTCTCTCTCTGCCTCCCTTCACTTCATCTCCCTCTCTCAGTCTCTGTCTCCCACCCACTCAGTTCGCCTTGGCTCTTCTGTCTTTCAGCTGAACTCTTTGCGATTGCCGTGGTCATTGTTTTGGCTATCACACACACATACATACACACACACACGCACACTCACACACCCGCTCGCATTGTGTGGGCATTTGTCATGCTTCGACTTGCACTTCCGTTGGCTGCGACTCCGACTTCGACTTCCAGTTGAGGGGGCGTGTGGGCAGCGAGCGGCCGCCCACGCGTCTCTTGGAGACAATTTTCGGCTCGGACTTTGGCCGCAGCTGAGCTAAATTAAATGATGCCCATTATCTGGCCCAGCTCATTAATTGGCTCTGTTACAGCGCAGACACTGCGTGGGCGTGGCAGAGGCGTGCGGTAGCTTCTTCTTGCTTTTCTTTTTGGCTGTTTTAGCACGTGTTAATGAATTCCATTTGCGTGGGCTCATTGTGGGCCTACCTCATTTTTGGTCATTGACAGCCTAAACGTTTACGCATTATTTCCTCACACACACACACACACTCACACACTCATTCAATTGAGTTAATGACTTCCTTTTGCTGGCTGCGTCGCTTCGTTCGCGCACATGTCAATTTGACATCGATGTGGATTAATTATCTTGTAAATAGCCAAACAGGAAGTTTGCCTCTTCTTCTTGCTCTTTCTTTCTCTACGCGTCTCTCTCTCTCTATCTCACTATTTCTGCAGCGGGTTTCCTCTTCATCGAAGCTGTTAATTTAAGATAGTTAGCGAGTGCCGTCTGACACGCTTACTCTAGTTATATTCTCTTCTTTCTCTCACTCTCAGTTATTCTCTTCCTCTGCCTGTCTTTCTATATCGAAACTATCTCTATCTCCCGCTCTCTCCGGCTCTATCTATTTATCTATAGTCAAAAATAGGCTTTATCTACTTTATCATACTTTCTTTGAATTAGTCTCATTCCTTCCCTCTTTCTCTCGCTCTCTCTCTCTCTCTCTCTCTCTATCACTTGTTCCCAGGATTTTTCTCTCTGCAGGATCTCTTTTTCGCTTTCTTAGTCTTTCTTCTCCCTCACCTGCTTTCTCTCCCTCTCCCTCGTTCTCTGCCATTGCATAATCAGCCACGCGGCTAAAAACAAATGACTTAGGCAAAAAACTTGATTCGAGAACCAGCACACAAATATCCAAGATATCCACACAGTAAAAAACAAAAGACTAAATATTCAATCGATCGATTGTGGTTTTGGTTGTCGTTGTTGTTGTTGTTGTTGCTGGAAAGCCAAAATCTGTTGTGTGTGAAAGCTGCGCACAACAAAATTTCCCTAACAACAACAACAACAACAGCAGTCAAGCACTGCCCTCAAAAAAGTTGGCCACACAGTGAAGAAGAAGAAGAAGAAGAGCCAGAAGAGAGGAGTGGAGAAAAGAGCACAAGAAATATGAAGAAGAAGACGCCAGATACTTTTGGTCATAATTTATGCTCAACCTGTTGCCGCACTTGTTGCTGCTAGTTGTTGTTGTTGTTGTTGCTGTTGTCACAGTTGTTGCTGTTGCTATTGATAGGTGCTCGTGCATGAATTTGATTGGAATTTGAAAATTTGTAATCGCATCGCAGCTGCGCATTTATTTGTTGTTGCCATTAGAGACACTCAGAGCCAGCCAGAGGCAACTGGGGCCAAGCCTAACGCAGCGCCGCCTCCATCCACGCTCGACAATTTGCATCTCACATTTACATCTTCCTCTTCCCTAGATCACCCTCCGCCTAGCCTCCCATCCCCCTCCCCCCCCTCCCCCCATCACACCTTCAGCCTGTTCGCTTCACTTGGCATGAAATCGTTTTCAAATCTGATTTAAACTTTTTCACTTTTTGTTGTTGTTGTTGTTGCTGTGTTTTAAATAAATGCAAATGCATTTGGTTTATATATTTCTTTTTGTTTTTGTTTGCTCCGCTTCCGCGCATTCAATTGCTGTGCGTGTGCTCATGTGTGTGTGTGTGTGTGTGCTGTAATCGTTGACTGCGTTAATTAAGTTAAAAAGCGCAAAGCGCGGAAAATTCAATTAAATGTTAAACGAAGCTCGCGACACAAAGAAATTACCCCAAATTGGCAATAACTGTCGGAGAAAGAGAGCGAGAGAAAATGAGAGAGAGAGAGAGAGAGAGACAGTAATGATTGCATAAGCAACCATTGGGCGCATCTTGAAGCCTCCGCTCAAGTGTAGCTCAAGTGGAATTCAATCTTGCAGGAGGCAAAGCAAAGTTAAGAACAGATAGATGAGACTAGGGCATAGACGACTGCACAGATGCCCTATTAGGCAGTGTATCCACTCCTAAGTTGAGTCTGGGCAATGTTGGCTCCTAAATTGTGAAGGGCGTCGCAATGCATTGGAAAACGGCAGGAGGAAGCGACAGAGAGAGAGAGAGAGAGAGAGAGAGAGATAGAGATAGAGAGAGACGGGGCCAAGCGACTGTGCCAAGACTTGAAATCAAATTATTTATCCCCTAAAGAGAGAGAGAGAGAGAGTGAGAGTTTCTCTGGAGATGTATTCAGAGATTGAGAGCATTAGAGAGATTAGTTGGGCTTTTTTTTTCTCTCATAAAGTCTTCATAGTTTTCAGACCCCAAGCTGCTCAATTTAATTTAAATAACTGACCCCAGTGCCCTATCAAATGCCCTTCCATAACTGGGTTATGATAACTGAGCTTGATCAACCTGGGCAGCTGATCTCAACTCAGATCTCAAATCGGATCTCAGTTTGTCGCAGGATTTATCATTGCCCTTACCTTCTTCTCTCGTTCTACCTGTCGCATGCATTTCCTGCTAATCAATATACCCTTTCCCTCAACCGTTTGTAATTAGTTCTGAGCATTAAATGCAAACAGCCTGAGCCCGCAGCTACCTGCTATTGTTATTGATCTCCCTCTCCTTCCTCTGCTTCTTCTTCTGCATCATCTCTCCACTTCAGTTCTCAGGATTTGTCTGTCTGCAGGCTCAAGGCTCAGGGCTCAAGAGCATCTTTGACAGATTTGGGTTTGAGCTATTGCCATGTGCGGCTGCCTGTTGCTTGCGCCGAGTTGCTTAAACAGCTAAGCGACAAAGGCACA